TAACATCTCGCACGGCGCGGCGCGGCGGCACACTGCGAGCGGCCGCGGAGGCCGTGTTCACAATTACGCGATTCGTTTATCAAGTTTTTATGTCGCTCGTCGAATCCGCCCGTTAATCAACGGTGCATTGTGCGAGTTTAAGCCGCGCGTTTTCGGAACGTAAGCGCGATTACGGGCCGCCGCCGTGTTCTCGCGTTCGCCGAATGAACTGCCGCGTAATCGGCGATTATTATCAGAAGGCCGCGAAATGGATATTTGGAAATGCGCAAGATAATCACGCAGCGCCGATTCTCCGCGATCGCGCGCGCGTCCCCGGCTGCGATATCAGTTCCGAATGCCGGCGGCTTTATCTGGAAACGACGCGACATACGCTGCCGGGTAATCGAATGGGAAATCCGCCGGAAATCCGGCGAGTATCGCGCGCTTTCTCTCTCTCTCTCTCTCTCTCTCTCTCTCTCTCTCTCTCTCTCTCTCTCTCACAAATATAAAAACGCACAATCGCGCGAGCGAACACGCGCGTCCGAGACGAAGCTTGTTAAAACGCGAACGCGCCGCGTCTCCGCTTTGAGAGCTCCACTTCTCGGGCGGAGAAGCGATTACGAGACGCGACGCATCTCCGACGTCGACTCGAATGTAAACGCGACGGGGGTGGCATGAACCAAGGGGCAGAAGGGCGAGGGGAGGATGCTCGCGCGAGCGAGGACACTTTTGTGTTCCGATGCGAAATCCCCGGCGAGTCCTCGCTATTAACGACCCGCATTCATCATGCTTTGCCGAGATGGCAGAGATTACCGAGATCGACCGCGCACGACGACGTTGATCTGCCTCCCGGACCGCGAGAGAGGAGGGAGGGAGGGAGGGGGGGGGGAGGAGGAGGAGGAAAAGGAGAGACAGAGAGTAGGCAGGTAAGGCGAACTCGGGCCAACTTGAACGGATTGCGCGGCGTCTATACGTCTGCTAATGAAGACAGCTATTATCATCCGCGATGTATTAACAGCGGCTTCTTAGCCAAGCCGGGCAAACAGCCGGTAATTATGCAGCTTCACGTTCGCGGTTGCGGCTGCAGCGACGAGAACGGGGAGGCGAGAGGGAGGACGAGCGGGCGGCGGACGGACGCTTGATCTTCCCTCCCCGGTGCGACTGTTGTGCGATAACGGCGTCATACATCATAACAGATCCGGCGATATCACGTCGGAAGGAGTCGAAAGGACGGATTAAGCGAGCGTGTCGCGGAGCGTAACGAGGCTTTTGTAAACTGCAGATGACGAATGTCGCGCACTCTTCGTCGAGCCGAGACACACTTAACGCTTAACGGCGCGCGCGGCGCTGGCGAGCGAAAAGGCGACCTCGAGCTGAGGCGACTCAACGTCGTGACTCGCGGCGATTCACCCCGCGACTAAAGCCCTAGATTAATGGCGAATTTGGCCGCTTGCATTAGTGCACACTGGATACGATCAAGGCCCGTTCGTAGCTCCGTTCTTATGCTCAAGATCGTCATAAATATATCTTCAATAACTTCTTAATCCAATAAAATGATCTCTACAGATGCTGTACAGATAATTTAACCTTCTAACGCTCCACTTTTTTATAAGTGTTTTAAGAATAAAATTTGAGTTTTTTTAACTGAGACTATAAGTAGTGATAACTAAAAAAAATATCAGAAATTTTATATTGGTCTTTTAATCGTTCGTTTTTTGTTTATTGGTAAATATGACTTGGATCCTAAAAGCATATACGAAATGAACAACCTATACAGAGAAAAATGAAGGATAATCTATACGACATAACTCTGATAGTCAACTTGACATTTTTGAACTGAAATTTTACTATATTTGTGAATGAAGTTTATCATTCAGAGCGTCAAGCTTACTATTTCAGAAGAATATCTTATAGGTCACCACATAGATAGTCAATCGTCCCTTCATTTTTCGCCGCATAAAAAACTGTAGGTCACCAGATTTCACGAAAATAGGTTGATTTCTTGATTTTCGTGTCCACCATATTGGATTCGCCATTTTGAATTTCTGTATTCTTTTAATTTCACATTTTGCATCTGAGAAAGCTTCCAGATGTATAAAATTATAACAGATACCAATCTATTCATTTATAGTGCACTTCTAGATGTCAGTAACAATGCTAACTATGTCTATTTGACAAAACATATTATCATTAAAACTGAGCTAAAAACAGACCAAACTGAATCTAAATAGAATCTATATACCATTTTTTAGAAGAAGAATTCATCTTTACTAAAATCATATTATGATAGTAACCTTACTTACTTTAACGAAATGCTGATGTCAAGTACCAAAGTGGTCTGCATTTCCCAATTCGATATGATATTTCATAACCTCAATCATGGTGACCATAGGAAGCATGGAGAGGGTAACGTTTGCGCTTCTTTCTTAATCTAGGGCTTTATCCGCGACGAGACACGTTCGATTCCTAAATCGTGGTGATTTTCAAGCTCGGTCGAGGTCGATAAGTCGAGTAACGATGGCACAGTGGCTGATTCGTTGCGTAGACATGTTTATTTTCATTTCCTGCGTTGCCACAAGCGCCTCTTCACACGTTTGCAAAACACTGATATTCAAATTTTTAAAAGTTGCGTAAACCGAGGAAAAATGAAAAACAAACTCTAAGCAAATACACATAGTACACATAGTTGGATTTGTTTCGACAAGAACTGCGACTTTCATCAAAAGAAACAAGGTCAGTTTCCATTTTTAAAAAGTGATCATTGATGAATTTCAAAGTGGCGCCATCTGCAGACAAATCGATATCGCTATCTCGTATCCCCCTTGAGAGGTCGACAACTTTTGCACGGAATATTTCTTTGTAAAAGGAGCAGAGAAGGAGATATTTGGATTGGGACATTAATCCTTAAGGCCTGGTCTACAATATGTGTTGTAAGCTGTAAGCCGTAAGAACTGACCAATTATAGCCGATTATTTTTGTAATAATCGACTGTGATTCGCCAATTCTTACGGCTTACAACTTACGACACATATTGTAGACCAGGCCTAAAGGTTACTATAAAGGCTATTATATAGGTGAAATTTCACCCGTACGAATTTTATTTTGTTCTTGTTAAATGTTAAATTATTTGCTGCAAACGATAACTTTTCTACTTTTCATTTAATATTCAATAATAATGAAACATTGAATTGCATTTATTTGACATTTATTTCTAAAATAAAAAATATATACCGGAATGAAATTTCACCTATGACAGCGTTAACGTGATTTTCTTCAATAGCAGCCATTAGAGGTTAAAATGGCCCACCCTGTATAACAAACTACTGCAAAAAAAAGGAACTGGCCAATCAATATTCTGCCAAGATCCTTGTAAGACTGTGGGAAATTCGGGGGGAGGGGAATTCGCCACCGTAACCCTCCCCCCTCTTCCCGTCTCTATGGCTCGAAAATTAACCGTGGGCTTTATTGCGGGCGCACGCGAATCTGAAATTTAGATGTAATAAATATGTAGTTATGGGAGAGCGAAGGTCGATCGCGGTATGCGGAAGCGGTTTCGCGTGGCGCAACGCGGCGCTCCTGAAAGATGCACAGCCGGATTGATAGAGCGCAGTCATGCTACCCCGTACTTATGTGGTCAATCGGCGGTACCCCCCCCCCCCGCTCCGCTTTTTCGGCCGCTTCCTCGGCCCGATCGACGGGCGCCGAGATTATCGGTACGTTGGGAACGCGCGACTACGCTTGGAAGGGTGGGGGCGGACATATTGGAAGAATAATATCGTTGTAAGCGGAGCGCGCGCGCGCATGCGCGAACGACGTTCGACGGATTTCACTGGCGACGGCAGGCCGGCGGACAACACACTCCCAGGCAGCGGAACACATTTGAAGCCGGAATAATCTGGCCGGGGGGCGCCGGTGGCGCAATTTTCGCGAGGGGGATTCCCAATGCGGCGCGACTCGCCGTACAGACGCCGGAAATGAAAAATTGAGAAAGAGAGCGGGAGGCAAAAAAAGAGAGCGCTTTCGCTTGGCGCACAAGAAGGGAGCGGTTAATAATGCAAGAACATAAACGCTAACATCGCTTGCCTTTTTCATGAGACGCCGGCGCCGGTTGCACGATGAAGGAACGGTAATGTTTATTTAATAGCCCCATTTATGTTGGATAAACCGCGCGCGCCAGCGGGCTTCAACGTGTAAGAACGGCGATTTTATATTTCATAAACGGAACCCCCTCTCCCCCTTCCCCTTCTTCTCCTCTCCCATAGAAACGTGCGCTCTCGTTGGCGTCGCTAGCACGTCGCGTAAGTACGCCGTCGTCGTAATTAAGCGCGCGCGTGTAACGACGACGACGACGACGACGGCGGAGGGCAAAGAGCCCGCGCCGCGCGGAGAAAAGTCGCTCGAGCGATACGCGATGTCCGGCCACTGGTGAAACTGCTCTGGATCTTGCGGGACCCTTGCTTGCGATGGTCCCCCCACCCTCCTCCGGTTGAACGCTCGAAAGGTCAGCGGATGTAAGACGCCATGTGTCGCTCAGCAAAATTACGATTCCCGCCTCTCACGAGGGCCTCCCGGGCCCCCAAAGCAGCTTCTCTTAATAGAAGCTGCGCTGGAGCAAGGATCCAGGGAAGCTCGGTTAACCGCAAGAAGGAGGAGAGGGGGCGTTTTTTTTTCACTCGCATCTACACGTTCGCTTCGAGAATGACAGTCGTGGCCGGTCCGCGGAATCATCGATCGACTCTGGAAAGTCAGCGAACGGCAGCGTCCGGGGCGGAATCTGGCGACGTGACACGCCGTTAAAGTATCCACTATGATCGTGCGGAAGGGTCGCAAGGTCGTTCGTGCGGCCCTATCCTTAAATTATTCAACAGAAGCGCCCGGAACAGGACTTGGGGAAGGAGGAGGAGAAGAAGGGGGAAGGCAGGCTGGATAGCCGGCCAACGCGCGCGCCTTGTCCGCTCTTGTCGGGCTAAGAAATAGCGCGCCCGGTCACGAACCGGACGATGGATTTTCCGATGGCTTACCGTTCGATTTCCCAAGTTCTTCACCTTGCACACCAGATGCACCGTCTTGCCCACCAGCCCGGTGAAGTTCGATTGCATGGTGGTGTCGAAGTGGGGCCCGGTGCCCGGCGTTGGCCATTCCTCCAGGAAGTCCGTCCGAAAGTTCCGTAGGCATGACGCTATACCACCTGGAAGCAGAGGCGATTTATTCGTAAACGACGACTTTTCAACCGCAACTCGTTGTCGGGATAAGAGCATCTGAGGTATCGGCGAGGGAATAAACGGGGGAAATTACGGTACTCGGATTTCTTTCCGTCACGACTCGTTCGGCTATACTCCGTCTCGCGTTGAAACTGTGACGATGTGCGGCGAACTGAGGTACCTGAGGTCTTCGCCACGTCGGTTAGTCGTCAATGTGTTTATTTATTTTTCATTTTTCTGTTTATTCATTTATGGGACAAGTCCCTTTGAAAGATAACAAAGAGGAAGAAAAGTACAAAAATAAAATACAAGTCAAAATAAATTGAAGGTAGATCGCAAAATTTACAGTCATTGGTGATCGAATAACGCTAGATTGCAATATAAATGAAAGAAAGGAAAATGGACCATTCCCATGATTATGTCTGGTTAACGCTGATGTCTGCTTAACGGTCCGTTTGAAAGTAGTAACTGACGGAGAAAAATAGTCGCACGTACGTGTTGCGAAAAGTAGACATATTGGGGACAAGTAACAGCGAGTCGAGCCGGACGACTGAAAATATCGTAACTCTTCCGCTTCTCCGCAAATTGGTACGCCGGCTGGCCCAAGTTAACCTCTTAGCTGTTAAAATAAAATTACGAAAAATTATGAAATTACGGACACGGAATCAGAGAATGACACGAAAGATGAGAGAAAATAACGAATGACGAAGATATATACTTTTTTTCTATGGACATTTACGTCATTAACAGCTAGGAGGTTGATAGCACATATTCCCTGCAGATATTCTCATGTCGATGTCTGCGATCCGATTTGCGAAGATCGATTGTCTGCGCGCGGGAAGACAGATCGTTGAGAAGCTCGCGTCAAACCCGCGTAGGTTCTTACCGGAATTAATTCCATCTCGGCAAATGTCGGGACGGAATTCGGCCCGCGAGAGAAGAATGCTGGACGAAGGTTAAAATCGCGTTTATAGGCAGGAGCGTGCGTGAATCCGCCCTACTTCCCATGGCTAGCCATCGATAACACAGGTCTATAAAAAATGGGATCATGATTGTTGTTGGGCAGCTGGGAGTCGTTTCCCGAGTAATTTTCTGCGTAGAATTCGAATCCGAGGTCAGAATTGGCCCATCATATCAGGATTTTGAGATATTTGAGGTACCTATTATAATAGGTTTGGGGTCGATCTGAGACCAGATTCGTAATCAGCGACCCCAAAAACCCATATATACAGTTTTCAGTCCAGGTTTTCGGGTTTATAGTTCAAAGTTTACAGGTTTAATGTGAATGCTCATGAGGTTGTTAGGCTATAACGGCGCAGGGTTTGGAATTCATCATGTTATCTTAAAATGGCCGTAACTTTGCAAGGAAAAATCGTAGATGACCATTCGACAGCTCATTTTGAAGGGAAAGAGTAGTACTAAATGATGCAATTAGAAGAAAAGAGCTAAAAAATTGTGTGCGTCCTATACATGACCTCAAAAGTAGCCCAAAAAGCCATTTTTCGAGTATATAACCTCAAATATCTCAAAATCCTGACGTGATGGGCCAATTCTGACCTCGGATTCGGATTCTACGCAGAAAATTACTTGGGAAACGACCCCCAGCTGCTCAACAACAAAACCTTGTAGACCTGTGTAATTGGCGCAGAATGATGACCCAAGTGGGGGAACGACGCTTCTGCTCTCACGGCGCGAATTGATACGCGTGACTGTACAGAGATAGAGCCCCTTCGCGAAATATGGATCGTCCCAAGTGCATCCTCTCGTGTATAGCCATGTCGCGACACGTCCGTTGCTTTCTGCTTATGTGGACCTGGCGTCACAGGTGTGCCGCCTCGATTCTACCTCCAGCACGATCTTCAAGCAGGTGCGAACGACTTTTAACGGGATAATCATCGAGTATCCCGTGACTCTTTCGCACGCTCGTGGGTGTTCCCGGAGCGCCCGCGTGACATTTCAGGCACCAGCCACAACTTTCGGCGGATTTCAAATGCATCACTTTCCATGACAGGAAGTGGCGGAGGAAGGGAGGAGACCGACTACTAACACTTGTCGACACTTGACGACTGACGTTTAAACGTTAGGCGGAAACTCCAGGCATCTCGGTGTTCCCTTTATGCACATTCTTTTCTGACGGATTTCTGCAAAATCTTGCATTTTTGTTTTTCGGCACGCTAAAGTCAAATCTCATAAATTCAGAATGGCGAATCCAACACAGGCTGCCATGTGGAGTAAATTTGTGCAAGTCGGAATAAATATATTAGATATAAAAGTTTTTCAGATCGTTAATTATGAATTTTATGTCAGATTTACAAAATTCATTCAAGAGTAATTTATAAGAAAACATGTAGCGTGCAAAAATTCTGGGAAAAGTATATATTATATTTTGATATGTGAAGAATATTCAGTAAAATTTTCAGTCCCTAATCTTAAATACTTTCCAAAAAATTAAATCTTCTTCTCTTAAATCTCTTTTTTCCATTTTATTTGTTTATAAACAATTAAAAATAAACAAGCAAATATAAAAATCACGGGAAATACAAGGTATCCCATTTTTGACAGTCAAATATCTCGGAAAATGTGGAAGATATGGAGAAATGTTTCAGACAAAAGTTGTATGGTTTCAAGGGGGACATAAAATATCTATATCAGTTTGTTTACAGATGGCACCACTTTTAAAATATTCATTAATCATTACTTTTCTTAAATGGAAACTCGAAGTTTTTATTATGTCATCCTTTTCTACTAATTAATTTGAACAATTTTTGTCTGAAACATTTTTTTATTTGCCTAATATTTTTTTTAGATATTCCAGGAAAACTTGGTAACTTTTTCAATATTTACGATATCTCGCTGTTTATCGGAAGAAAAAATGGTACTTTTCTACTCTACTCAACTACTTTTGGAAATTTCAAAATCATCAAATTAACCAAATTCAGGCTATTGGAACAATATATTCTTGAGACTAGATATAGCAAAAAAGTCTAGTACCACTTTTTCTTCTGATAAATAGTTAGCGAGATATCGTGAGTTAAATATTGAAAAAGTTATCAAGTTTTTCTGAAATATCTAAAAAAATATTAGGCAAATAGAAAATGTTTCAGACAAAAGTTGTTTAAATTAATTAATAGAAAAAATAGTATAATAAAAGATTGGGGTTTTCATTTAAGAAAAGTAATGATTAGTGAATATTTCGAAAGTGGCGTCATCTGTAAACAAACTGTTATAGTTATTTTATGTTCCCCTTCAAACCATACAACTTTTGTCTGAAACATTTTTCCATATCTTCCATATTTTTCGTGATATTTGACTGTCAAAAGTAAAATGGGACACCCTGTGTATATAAAACAAATATCAATATATCAGAAAAATGTATAAGATCATATTTATTTTCATCAAACTGTAAATGTACGTAAAAATGGAAGAGAAAAGGTGGTCAGTACATCCATCACTATGTGCCACACAAAGGGTTAACATTCCCGTCACGTCATAGAAACAGACAGAGAGAGAGAGAGAGAGAGAGAGAGAGAGAGAGAGAGAGAGAGAGAGAGAGAGAGGAGAGAGAGAGAGAGAGAGAGAGGAGAGAGAGAGAGAGAGAGGAGAGGAGAGGAGAGGAGAGAGAGGAGAGAGAGAGAGAGAGAGAGAGAGAGAGAGAGAGAGAGAGAGAGAGAGAGAGAGAGAGAGAGAGAGAGAGAGAGAGAGAGAGAGAGAGAGAGAGAGAGAGAGAGAGAGAGAGGGGTTGGAGAAGGAGGCAGACGGAGAGAGATCTCGTACGTAGCGTCAACGTCTCGCGGATTGTCGCGTCGCACGTGAAAGTTCTCGCGTGCGACTCTACATGGCCCCGAACCCATTTAAATACATCACATTATATCTTGACGTGACGGTAACGTTCCTCTTCGTGACGACAACGCCGGCGTTACAGGTACAGCCGGATTTCCCTTGAAATCCGCGCGATAGTGTGCGGCACGCCGAGACGCGCGCGCGTGCTGTGTGCACTCGCTAGTCGCTAAAACGTGCATCACACGCCAGACCTTTCTTCGCCGCGGAACGCGTATTGCATAAAGAGCTACAGATTATATTCCGCTGAAGTCAAGCGCGCCCCGCGTGGTCGATGAGAGGAAAACGTCGCGTGGCTGGATGATCACGACGACGCCGGGATTCCCCCCAATCGCGCGTTTGGGATAATAGCCTCGCGGCATCGATGTGTACCCCGCGTGTTTACGATTTGTCATTCGTGTTAAACTTGGCCGCAGAGCAGAGGGTACGCCGAAAATCCGCTTGGAAAATATCTCGTCGGAGCGCACCGCACCGCGCTTCTCTTTCGCAGCGCGGGACGGTAGTTTTTTCTAAATCCATTTGCGAAATATCTTTTTTCCGAGGAAACCGTATTTTTGTATCGAGAACTTTCGTTAAAAAAAAAAAAGAAATAGCGAGAGGGAGAAAGGGAGGAGACGGGGGCAAGCGTGGAGAGAGAGAGAGAGAGAGAGAGAGAGAGAGAGAAAAGGGGGGAGGGAGAACGAAAAATAAATGCACGGGAAAAAAAATATAGGGATTGACGTTGCGGGAATTTCGCTGAAAAACACGGAGCTTGCTTCGAGAATGCGTAGCCCCAGTTTCAACCAATTTTGTTTTCAGTCACTCTGGATTTCGTTAACTCCGGCTGCGCAGCCGCCTTTGATTAACTGCAATTTTCGACGTAAAGTTGTTTCGCCGTGACATAAAAGTCGACAAACATCGCAGTACCGGAATAACGAAACGCGGAAATAACGAGAATCCGTGCCGCTCGATATATGGCGCGCGTGCTTTTTTTCATCTCGCTCAAAACTTGCGCGCGAATGGGGCGCAGATCGCCGCACGTCGTTATCGTTATCATCGTTGCGTCGTCAATGGCGCGTCAGTGTGCGGTATTGCGACTCCTCCCCTTCCTCCCTTCCCCTCCTCCCGTCCGCGTGACGTAACATTTGGTCGAGCACCGCAGCACAGGTTG